CACAGGAGGACAGAGTGCTCTTGTGCTCGAATCCTGTCTGCGGGTTTCCCATCGGCCATGGGCCTGATCCAGTAGGCACTTCTTACGTCTTCAACATTTTAAATTGTAATTGTTTTTAGAATATTTTGGGATGTTTTTGGTTTTTAAAAAATGTGTATCTGTTTTCTGCCCTGAGCTTCTTTCAGAGGAAGGTCGGGAAATAAATTCAATCATTATGATTAATAATAACTAATGTAGAGATTGCCAGTCCCTCAAATCCTATTTCCCCTCAATGGTGTTCATATTGCCCCCCCCTTTTTGCAAGCCACCTTGAGAGCCATTTGATTGGGAGGCAGGATGTAAATCTAAATAAATAAATATTAAAAAACAAAATAAAATAAAACAGAGAATGTCTTCAAAAACTTCTCTGAGGCTTTAGAGGACTCCAGTTGTATTTTGCTTATTAGTAATGTAAATCTATGTAATTAGGAATTTGTCTGCTCATATCTAGTAGGAGAAGCTACAAATTGCTTTATCTGTCCTGGCACTTAGGCTAATTTATCTCTGCCAACTTAGAAACAACAAATTTATGCATGTTTGAATTCTTTCTCAGAAAAAGAGAATGTCAAGTTCAGAAAAAGAGAAACTTGCAGCAAAAAACTAAGCTCAAACCATTCTGATTTCATCTGAATTTGGCCTTTTAAATCTTGAGTACATTGCTAAAAGGTTTGGTTATACTTGCCTGAAAGGTTAAAGCTAAAAGTAGCTAGAGGTTCCTCCCATCCCCAAATGTTTGCAAAATGTCAGCGTAATTAAGATACTTATACTCAATTCTGTTCTTGAGCAAAAACTGAATGCTGAAGATGATTTATGAAAATTGTTTTGAGACTTTTGAAATCGTAAAACAAACCAAACCAAACATCCTTAAAGGTTTTCTATGTGCGTTCAGATCTCAAAATGTGTCCAGGTGAGTGGATATTACCTCTGATGAAAGACCTGTTCCACCAGACCTTCTCTCCTTCAGGTGGTCATATGGCAACAGTCATTATACAGGCTGCAGCAGTGAAGATGGGAGCACAGCCATTCCACTGGCTCTGCTGAAATACCATCAGGTTCCTGATGTCTCTGAATTCACAAGCGCTTATAATGATAAACGACTCCTATTTTATTTTTAAGAATTGTTGTCTGTGTTTGCTGTTTTCCTTTATCCTCCCCTTACCTTTTCCATTTATGTTGTATCTTTTAGATTGTAAGCCCACAGGGACTGCTATGTTTTAATTGATTGTATGTAACCCACTCTTTGTGCCTAAAGAGTGGCTTTAAAATGCTCTAAGTAAATAAAGATGATAGGGGCTACAGTTAGCATCTAGATTTGTGAATCCAGAGCAGAAAGGACACTCCCCACCCTGTTATGTGTATATTACAAGGCTATGCTTGAGAATCTCATGCGTGAAATAGCTCTTTCACAATTGTCCTCCATGCTATCCCTTACTGGAACAATTCTTCCTTAACCCGCCTTTGAGATCAAACCAGCTGCCCTATTTTTCTGCATGGCCTTTTCCAGCTGGCTAGACCTAAAATAAACAGCATGGGATTGCTATGTATTAAGTGCTTAGGAGTGCTTGTTTTTAAAAGATGGGGATGACAGAGGGCATTTGTGTGCAATAGACAGAAGGCATGTTAAGAAAAACACAAGTTACAAATGACCAGCTTCAGTATAAAGCAAATGGGCCTAGCATCAGATCCAAAGCAAAACCAGCCTAAGGGGTTTAATCCTGTACTTTACTCTCCCCCCTTAAGCAATGAGATTTTCATATGCCTAACAGAGGAAGCTCTATTATACTAATCAGACCATTGGTCCAACTAGCTCAGTATTGTTTACAACACTGACTATGGTTCTTCCAGGGTTTCAGATGGGAGCCTTACCTCCCCTTCTTTATAGATGCTGGTGTGGGCAGTAGGCATGGATGGATCTGTTCATTTTGGTACAAAGACAAGGGAAAGTTCCTTACCACCCACTTTTTATTCAATATTTACAAAGAGAGGCTTTGGAACACAGCCTCTTGGATAATGGTGTTGTCCCGAGTGAATCTCCACCCCCCTTCTCTCCCACTTCCTCATTCGTCATCATCATCACCTCCTCTACAGGTGAACTGGGTTCGGGTCTCCACTCCTCCACATGCAGCTGCTGGGTGACCTTGGGCTAGGCACACTTCTCTGAAGTCTCTCAGCCCCACTCACCTCACAGTGTTTGTTGTGGGGGAGGAAGGGAAAGGAGACTGTTAGCCACTTTGAGACTCCTTCGGGTAGTGATAAAGCGGGATATGAAATCCAAACTCTTCTTCTTCTCTGTCTTTGAGCTCTTTGCTCTCCTACTTTTAAGGCTCGCTGGGTTCTGGGAGTTGGTGGGTCTGGAATGCTTTCTAGTGACAACGTGTCAGCAAGCTGCTGCTCCGGCTTTGCCAGCTCCTCCTCTCCCATTATCTCCCTACTTTGTGACCTCCCTCAAACCCTTATTGTAATTCTGAACCATCTTCCTTTTCTCTGGAAGGTCAGGCTGGGGAGGCGGTCTCCACCATTCCTCCTCTGCCCAGTTCCTGACGCTTTCCCTCTTAATTTTCGCTGAATTGTGTCCATCATTTTAATTAGACTGTGTATAGACATAGTGAAAGTATAGAATCTGCTTCCCCTAATGATGGCTATCAACCTGGATGGCTTTGAAGGAGATTAGATACACTCGTGAAGGATAATGCTAGCCATGATAGCTACCTCCACTGTCGGAGGCTGTATGCCTCTGAATATTATTGGCTAGGGATCACAACGGTGGGCATCTGCTGAACTCATTTCCTGATCACTGACTTCCCATGGGCATCTGGTTGGCTACTCTGAGAACAGGATACTGGACAAGATGGGCCTTTTGTCTGACCCAGCAGGGCTCTTGTGTTCTCACAGTGGTGTGAGGAGCACCACAACTGCATAGGACAAAATGTCTTCACCGGATGCTTCCCAGCAAAATCACTTTTAAATCCTAAACATGCCAGCTTCGTTTACTGACAGATTTTTTTTAACACACACTCCAGTGCATATGGGGGAGGGGGGTTAATTAACTCGCCAGCTGAGATTCGTTTCGTTGGGGAGCCATGTGCATCTCACCCAGCAGGCGCCAGCATCAGCTGAACGTCCAGCCAAGGAAGATGCAGCCGCATCTGCACACCCCAATGCAGAGGCAGCTAGCAATTAAGCAGCCCTTTGGGAGTTACAGAGCATGCCACTGCCCAAATCTGCCATGTGAGCACCTTTGAAGCTTCCAGTTTGAAACTTGAAAGAAAAAAAAAGATTTGGGGTTGGAGTCTTGGATCAAACGACTGAGCTGCTCTAGTTTAACAATGCACAGTTTTCTGCATTTCCCCAGAGCCTGTCAGCAAATCTCACACACTGCTGATACAGAAACAGGCAGGCACAAAGGTGTCTCTCTAATTGCATCCCTAGCCCATCTAAGTTACGCATATTCAAACACCTAAGCAAACTGGTTTCTTCAGAATCAAGTGAAGGACTCCTGTTTGCCAGGGGAAACTCTGAAAGAACTTAAGTGCTGTGTTGGAGAATAAACTCAAAAGTGCATTTCTGAGACAGTGGTTTCAAGAAATCATTGTTTCAGAGGCTCGTGCTAAAGTTTTGAGGACCATCCATGCTGGGCCTACCATAAGATTTGAAGCACAGGGTGGTTATCCCTCCCACCTTATTTAGAAGGATCTGAATTTTCAAGGTTGACTTGTTTGTCTGCTTCTCTTAATGTGACCTTTTCCTTCCTCATTTTAAATTGACTCCCTGGAGGATGAGATCTGCAGCGGAGATTACTACTCTGAGAATTGCTGACAATGTCTCTTGAGGCCTCTATGAGTGTTCCTTGACAACTTTTTGCATTCTTCATATTAATGTATTATAGGCAGGAATATGCATTGCTTTTAAAGCACCTTATCCACGATAATAATGTTAATAAATAAACGACCAACAATAGTGAGCGCATTATGGAACACTACTTTTCAGTAAGCTTATCTGAGATTTTTTAAAAGAATGTACAATATTGCTATCGTTTCCTTGAAGCATCTCTCAATAATACTGAGTGAAATTCACAACCAGGAAGAAGGCCTTGTCAGCAGTGGCACCATAGTTGTGTAACACTCTCCCAAGGGAGCCTACCTTATTGTCCTTTCAGCACCAGACAAACACCATTTAATTTCCCCAAGTTTTTAGATACAGTTTGAATCCTGCTGACATGCTTATGTTGCTTTTATGATCTGTGTCACCTCTAGGGTAGTTATATTTCTGCAGTTATATTTAAATGGATTTTTTTTTGTAAAGTGTATTGAAAATATGATTGTTGTTGTTTAGTCGTTTAGTCATGTCCGACTCTTCGTGACCCCATGGACGAGAGCATGGGTTGTATAAAAATAAAAGAGGCTTTAAGGTTTTCTTGGCATTTTTAAGGCATTGGGGAAACCACTGTTCCATTTAGGGAAGTTTTTAATGTTTGAAGTTTTATTCTGTTTAATATTCTGTTGGGAGCCACCCAGAGTGGCTGGGGAAACCCAGCCAGATGGGCGAGCTATAAATAATAAATTTTAATTTTAATTTTTATTATTTAATTTGCAAAGGATGCTATTAGAGATGGTTGTTGTTGTTGTTTATTAAATTTGTATACCACCCTATCCCCACAGGTCTCAGGGCAGTTCATAACATAAAATCACTATATGTAAAAACACATAATAAAAACAAAAACAACCCTGTAATCCTCTCCTCCTCATATGTTCAGGATGGGATTTGAAATTTAGAGGAAATGTTTTACTTTGATGAAACAAATAGGACTATCCAGGCATGCATTTGAAATCTATAACTTTATATATAGAACACAGGAAACTAGCTGCCTTGCGCAGAGTCAGGCCACTCTAGCTCACTTCTGGCTGCACTGACTGGCAGCGGCTCTCCAGGGTTTCAGGCAAGAGTGTTTTCTCAGTCCTACCTGGAGATGGTGGGGATTGAACCTGAGGCCTTCTGCATTCCAGGTGGATGCTCTGCCACTGAGCTACTGCCCTTGCATATGAAAATTCAAGACCACAATAGTGTACTATGAGTACACTGACTCATAGTGAACTATGGCAGGGCTCTAGTGTTCCTCTGCCTAAGCAAAGGAAGCATTAAAGGTGGGCTTTACGCAATACATCATAATGTGCAAGAGTCTGGGTGGTTTTTACTTTGCCTACTGCCACTCCTAGTGCTTGTGAATTTATTGAGAGATTTATAGATGCTTGAGTTTCACATGAGTTAAGATGATAAATAACTTTCAGAGCTCTCTGGAAGGCTAAAGACTTTAATCCCTTCCTCAAATCCTTTTAATGCTTCAGCTTTTTTTAAAAAAAATAAAAAAGATATAAATGTAGAGGACATAGCAAGAAACTCAATCAAGTCACAGCAGTGCATAGAAAAACAACCCAGATGACAGTTTTAGACATAATGCCACAGAATAGAAATAACCATGCTTTTCTGACATATAAATTACAAACCTCTGAACTATCTTTTTTTTTTATAGAGTGAGATGTATATTTTATAGGGGTGCGTAACATGCTTTGATATGTATGTAAATGCAAGAAATGTGTTTGCAAATGACAGTCGTCATCCTACAGGTATTCCCATTGCCTGTGATTTGCTAAAGCTGCCTGTTGCGCAAATGCATATACCACAGTTGGCATCTGTGTAAGAAGTGGTCTGAAGGACACTTCAAGCATCTTCAGCATCCTTAGGCCAGGGCCACAGCAGGTGGCAGGTGGCTCTGAGCACCATTTAACACTTCCCACAATGCCTTGGTGCATTATTGAGCGATCCGGGGCAGTGGCTGGTTGATGCCTGCTACTGGGTAAGGCTGGGAAGGGACACTGTTGGGGAGCAGGTCTGCAGAGGTCACCATGCTAAAGGGCCTCTCAAGCCTAGAAGCAGACCTAAAAGTTGCAGCTGTTCCTTATGGGGAAGTATCTCAAACTTCTTTCTCCCGCAGTGAATTGAATGAACAGGAATAGCTTTATCTGTCTTTCAAGAAGCAGAAACAAACCCAGGTAAATCCAAGTCACGCGGGAAATACCTATTCGCCTGATGGAAGGAGTCCCATTGTTGTACTCTTGTTGGCAAGGTCTATAAGAAATAATCTTCCAGTCTTTATTGGAGGAAGAGTAAAGAAAACTTGATATCTTAGCATTCATTAGCTACTGCGCTAGGTTTAGGGGACTTGAATTGCTGTGTGAAGCCCCCATATGGTTTACGACTGGGATACCTAAAAGATGGCCTCATACCCTACATACCCAACCAATAATTGAATTCTGCACAAGAGAGCATTGTGCAGATACCATCCTATCAGGAGATCCATTTTTCATAATGTCAGAATTGGGCTTTTATTGTGAGGGCATCTACCTTTAGAAACTTCCTTCCATGGCATAATAGACAGGCATCTTCTCTATTGTCTTTTTGACAGTTGCTAAAGGCATTCCTTATTCTTCTGATAAGCCTCTATCCCAGCTGGTATGTGTCTTGAGTTGAACTGATTTTCTGTATGCCCTGTTGTTCAGTTGAATGGTTTTTGTTTATAATTGTTTTTATACAGTATATGAAATTATTTTAACAGTTTATGTAACTGTTGTACATAGGTTTTTAAATTGTAAATCATTCAGGATACCTCATGGGAAGCAATTCATAAATAAAATAAATAAAATAACAACCGTGACTATTACTGCCGAATCATATGATATCCCAGAACCACATGCCTGTAGGCAGTAATTTGTGGTTTCCCCCTTTCATCCCATTGAAGTTGTGTGAGGTTTTTAATATTTCATGCATGAACTTGGGCTACCATCTACACTACTACAGGAGCTCTTCAGAATCCCCAACCCCACCTGGAGATGCCTGGGATCTTCTGCATACAAGGCTCTACCACTGAACTAAAGCCCTTATAGAGACCATAGAGATGGCTTTATACATATGGAGATGGCCAACATGGATGAAACAGCATGATCCTGGAGCTGTCCAGTTCTAGCTGAAGAGTGGTGTGAGGACATTGACTGGCAGTTAAGGGGAGAAGTGGTACAGAATAAATGAGATGGGTGATTCTTGAAAGATGTCTTCAAGAGGCAGATAGAAAGTGGAACTTTATTTTTTTAGAATGAGATGAGACACTACAAATCCTCCAGTGGGAGCTGTGCTATGACTTAATGCAAATCCAGGATTGTGATGCGGCACTACAAATTTTCCAATGGGGACTGCATGACGACAGCCTTACATTTTTATGTATATAGATATCTATATGGTGGGGGGCTTTCATTACATGTTTTACTTATTAGTGAAAGTATGACCATGCTTTAAAAATTATACTCTGGTTAAAGTTAGGTGGGGCTACTGGTGGTCAAATAAATTTTATTTGGAGTAGCATATGACTTTTGGCTATCAATTAGTAATACCTGTTTTGCATATTTATGACAATCTATGCACAGTTTTGAATAAGACAAAACAAGCAGAATTCTTAGTAAAAATATGTATTTTGGGTATCTTTTTTATTTATTGAAAGGTAGTTAATGATGTTGCCAGCACTAACCACCTCCTTCATTCTGAGATCTAAAGTGAATTTTTCACCTTTGGAGATAAACCAAATCAGATATGGGAGACAGGCAATCTTGTGGATTACTTTTGTCGATTTACTGTTAATGTTTTGCAGTTCCATTTCTACTGCAATCAAGAGTGCCATTGTCCTGCAATGTAATTACAAAAGATTTAATTATAGAGTATTATACTCACCCACCCCAGTTAATAAAGTTTGTAAAGGTAGATAGGACCTAACTAAAATCTAGGCCATCTTAAAATTTTGTGATTGCCTCATTAAAATCTATAGTACATAGTTAAGACATATATTTGCTAGAAAGCCTTGGGAACACTTTGAGGTGTATGAAAGGAAGATACTGCAATCTCAGTTTAAAAAAAATATGAGAGAATGCATGTTTCCTTGTTTGTGAGTTAGACGTTAGAGATTTTTCCTGCAGAGATTAAAGCAGCTTCACCTTTCATCCTCAAAGCCCATCTGAAATTCACAGCACTTGTATTTCAGAGACCACCTCTCCTTATGTTGTTCCGCACACCAACATTAGTTGTCTAATCAAGCCTTGTTTCATGTGCTCACTCAGTGGGAAGTGAGAAATCTCAAACCTAGAAGCAGGGGATGTGCAGCAATTGCTCCAAACCTGTGAAATGATCCTCTCCACTGGGATGTCCATTTCTGAGTCTGTTGGAGGGTATACAAAGTGCATCTCTTCTAGCTAGTTTATGGCTTGGTTGGGTGATTTTCCGGATTTTTGTACTGATGCTTAATTTGTTTACTGTAAGCCACAGAGCCTCGGAAAAGCTAATAAGTGTGTGATCTTGTTCCAAGTGAGAAATCCAAAGTCATGTTAGGAAATAAGCAGTTTAAAAAACCAGTTGTAATTCTAATGAAAGCTTTTAATAAAAACGTTATGATATCTGCTGTGCAGACACCTCCTGCAGTCTATGGGATATATTGTTGTGATGGAATCTGAATTCCCTGTGAATCATGTCCAGATACAGGCGAAGAACTTTTTATTCTTTCAGGGTTGTTGTTGTTCTGTAAATCTCTTCATGTTATGTTTTATTTTTATATTCTTGCAGTTTATGGTTTTTCTACCTCTGTTTTGTAACCTGCTCAGGGAACCTCAGGAACTGGACAGTGTGGGGATGCAAAATTAAATAAACAGCCTGCATTGCTGTTGTGAAAAGTTTGAGAATGGCTATGAACTGCAAGCTCACAGCACTCTGTTGGGGGCAGGGGTCTGTTGCAAATGTTCCAGACACTCACAAGCTGTATCAGCAGAACTTGCATAGCCATTGGGTCATGCAGCATCTTAGCTTCCAGAAGGCCCTGTTAGCACAGTACAGTAGACCTTTGGAATACACCCAACAGCCCCAATTCTCAGGCATAGATGTATACTGAGAGAGATGGCCATTCTATCCTTTGCGTGACAATCTGTCAATTGAATAAGATGTGAATGGACTTGTTCAGTTGTGGGCGAACATATCAGACCACACAGCGATTCTTCAAACAGCTCTTCTTTATTCTGAGGCCAGAACTGAACTGAGCTGAAGGGCTCAGTCAGCCTGCTTATATAGAGCTCCAGTACCTTGTTACTGTAACAACTTTCTAAAACTATCCAATCACTGAATGTCACTTTCGATCCTTCATTTGCATACAAACTATCCAATCACTGAACGTCACTTTTGATCCTTCATTTGCATAACTATCTACAGTATCTCCCTGCTGGCCCAGGGTGAGAACTTCAGTACATAACAGGACTGATCTGGACGAAGACCTAAAAGATGTCATGCTCTTGAGCAAGCAGGGTGCCACTTAAGTCAGTTTGTTGAAGCCTGCATGAATAAACATTTATGCAGCAATTCAAACTGCACACCAGCCTGGAGGGGAGTATATGTATTGTGTGGAGGCATCCCTCTGCCCTGCCCTGCTGGTCCTTCTTGGTCTCTTATCAGTCACTGTCTGTGGAGTGATGGCAGCATCACTTTGTTGCCATGGAGTTCACCCTTCTTCCCACTGAACATGCACAACGGGGACGGGATGTTTAGGCTTTCTGGAGGCTGGGAAGAGGTGGGGCTGAGTTGGCCCAGGGTCCATTGGGTTCTGAACTGACACCACTGCCATCATGTGATGGTATTGGGCCCAATTAGGGCCTGATTGCTGCCCCATCTGGAATAGGTGGAACAGAGGGGAAGTTAGGACTGCCCCCTTAGAGAACCACTTTTTAGGTAAGCTCTTTTTAGAATCAGTGCCAATCCAAGATACTTTGCTGCCTGAGGTGGAGGAGCAAATGCCCTCACCACCCCAGGGCTGTCAAGTTATTAGGCAGAAAAATCCACAATCCCTAGCAGTAAAAAAAATAAAATAAAAAAATGCAATAAATTAAATATCTAACCATTTCCCGCCCTTTCATGACACCTAAAACCAGCTGCCTGAGGCGGCTGTCTCATTCTGCCTAATGCTAGTCCAGGACCTGCTCAATACATATGATAAAATTATATAAAAAGGTGCCTTTCACTACAGAGATTCATGTCACATCCGTGCCATACATTTAAAGCTCTTAGACACTGTGAGCTCAGCACCCTTAGCAGACTACAGTTTCCATCCCAGGATACACCATGACTGTTAAAGCAGTATAGTGGTGCTTTAAATGCATAGTGTGGCTGTTACCCTAATGGCCACCCCAACTATCAGGTAGCTCCTGATTTTTGCTGTAATTATTTCTTGTCCACAAACCACATTATAGCATTTGCCGTCTAGAATTTCGGCTGTTAGAGAAACGAGGAGTTATTTCTTAGACTTTTTTTTTTTTTTTTTGCTACTAGAACCACACTGCCAGCTACAATTACTGGCCGTGCAGAAAGGCATAATACTCATGAAATCCTCAGCTTCACATTTCTCCCTGCAAGGAAAACCTATTTAAAGAAACGCCTTTCCCTGTCTCTCGCCTGCCCCCCTCCTGTGTGTGGCTCATCATGATATGCAAACCTGAGGCATGTTACATTGTTACATTTCTCTGGCTAACTCACAGTGAAGGGGGGGCGCTCTGCGGAAAAGGGGGGGGAGAGAGGAAATCAAAACTCACATTAATCCACAAAGTCCATTTCAGTCTTTCTAATCTTTTTTGGAACCCCAAATACTTCCCAAATCATCTTAGTTGGAGCTCTGGCAGCCTGAGATAAGCAACAGTGCTGAGACAATCTTGTTTCTTCCTTTCATCCTAAGCATCTATACCTAAGAGCCAGTGGTTTGCCTGCTTGGATGAAACTTAGAATATTTTGCCTATACTGCATATTTCCCTTGACCAATTGAAAAGCACCGCAGAAGCGGGAGGGCATGGAGAAGACTCCAAAGCAATGTGCTGTATTAGTATACGATACATATGGGTATAGAGATGGAAATTAAAAATAAATAAATACAAACACCAGCTTTAAATTACACATTAGGTTGAATCCTAAGTCAAATGCACGCTATACGGTCATCATTTCTTCCTCTCTTCAGTCTGCCTGTTCACCTGTGTATCAGTTCTGGCTGAATTTGCATTGCGTGTTTTGAGCCTGCTTTTCCTTTAGAAATCCATTCTGTGCTGCCATTGCAGAAGTTTTCATATTTAGGGTATGTTGGAGGGTATGCATTTGCAAAAAATTGGAAGCATGTTCTTAAATGTGCTCTGTCTGGGCCAAGTCCAAAGACAATGCCTTTTTAGAGAGACCCTCTCCAGCATAATAAGATCCCTGCTGGATCAAGTCAAAGTTCTCACAGTGGCCAGTCAGCTGCCCATGGGAAGCCTGCAAGCAAGACTTGAGTGCAGAAGTGCTCTCCGTTGTTTGACTTGCCATGAGCTCTGTTTGAAGTCCTGCACTTCTCTTGTTTCATGGGCAGTGAACTCAGGACAGACAACCGCTGCCTCACACAGCACCTAATTAGCTGGTAGAATTTACTACCACTAGATACAGTGGGGGGTACTAGCTTACATTGTTTTAAAAAAGGATTAGAAGAATTCCTGCAGGACAGATGTGTTAATGAGTATCAGCCACAATAGCAAACCCATCATGTGTAAATGAGAGCAGCAGTTTACTGTATGCCAGGGACAAATAGCGAATAATGACCATAATGTTCATTGTCCACTTGTGAATTTTTAGGGGCATATGGCTGTTTTTGGAAATGTTACTAAGCTAGTTTGATCTGGGCCTGGTCCAATAAGCTTGTTCCTGTTTGCTGCTTTTTCACTTTGCAACCTATTTCTTGCAGAGATGTCCCCAAAAGTCTGATGTTGAAGCAAACACACTTAGGACTCGTGCAAGACATCTGGGTGCCTGAAATAATCATTATTCATAACCCACATATTTTCCCGATGGGACTGAAGGTGGCTTAAAGATAAAAAAACAAGAACCACTAAGAACATAGAAAAATCAATCATTAAAAAAGAATTGAACACTGATAGAATTAAATATTCATATATAAAATCTGTTCAAAATATACCATTTAATTACAATAAAAGCAGCCCTTTCATAAAAAGTTGTCAATTCCCAAAGGGTTGTTGGAACAAGGAAGTATTCACTGGCTAGTGGAAGGACAGCAAGGAGGGAGCCAGTCTAATTTATCTAGGGAGGGAGTTCCGAAGTCTGGGAGCAGCCACTGAGAAGGGTGAGAGAAGGACCACCCCCAAAAACTCTAAAAACCTGAGTGGTTTTGTACAGAAACTGGCTGGACTGGCTTGAATTTTGCTTCAGCACTGGTGAAAGGATAGCATCTTCCACCACACCTGAGACAGCAGGTTAGTTTAGGGAGTGCCTGGACCAGTTGTGTGGCAAACATAGCTCTGTCCTCCAACAGAAAATAATGGCCAGGGAGCAGTTTTGCGGGAACAGCCAGGGGACTGCTTCAACTACTGCCCCCCCATTTGCCCCACAAGGGTAGGCCTCTCACTTAGCCTAATGGTAGAACTGGCCCTGAACACACTTACCAGAGAGTAAGTCCATTGAACTCAGAAGGGGCTACTTCTGAGGAACCATGCTTAGGATTCTGCTGTGAGTTCCCTAAAATGATGCAGGACCTCTTTTTTGGACAGGCAAGATTTGTCTGCAAACTGATTTTTGTCTTCCTTAATGAGGAAATTGTAAGGGGCAGTCATTCCTTAAGAAAGGAAGATAGAAATACCCCCCCCCTTAGTTTTAAATTGGGGTCATTCAGATTAAGCATATGCACTTCAGTGAGAAAATTCAGACCTCAGATGGGATCTAACCTGAAGCAAATTGATCAGCACATTCTTGTAATTAGAAAATAGGGAACAGCAAGATCCTAATGAGAATCCTGCCTTTAATTCTAGATGAAGTAATTTCATTCATTTTTCATCTCAACAGGTGGAATTGTCTATAAAATGCAAAAGACACACACAGACATCTGAGTTTGCAGAAGCACTTCTTGCACTGAAATTAGGGTAGCATCAATAACATTTTCAGCATAAAGATCTTTCGACTATTTATTGATCTCTGGATACGCCATGCACTAATGGTTCAGTGAACATCTTTTAGCTTTTGTTAGGATTACACGAAGCTGTCTTATCCTGAGTCAGACCATTGGTCCATCAAGCTCAGTATTGTGTTAATTGACTGGCAGTGACCCTTCACAGTTGCAGATGCCAGGGATTGAACCTGGGCCCTTTTGCATGCAGAGCAGATGTTCTACCACTGAGCTACAGCAGTTTCCATGTTTATGGCCAACAGAGTTTAAGTAGACCTCTTACACTAGGTCTACTGCCTGCCAGAGACCCAGAAGCCATGTGACCCAACTTTGTATATGCAGACATACTGCTGAAACATCTATTTGTGAGGTTGGAATTTGCAGGTGAGAATTGTAGAGCATTTTGATCTCTTCCATATGTTCTTCTCCTTCTTAGATTTGAATCCATACTGGGGGTGGGGAGGGTGGAATCCCCTCCCACCCCAAACAATCTGCCATGACAATACCACCAGTACAGTGTGAATCCAGGTCTTCTGCTCTCCTCGCTTGTTATTTGGTCGTAGACTAGAACTGAAGACAAACCTCTGTAAGATTTTAGAACCGTGATGTGCTAACTCTGTTGAACCCTGGATCTGCATGTTCTCTTGGTGAGTGTCAAGCGGGGGGACGGGACTAATCTGTTTCTGAGAATTTCCTCCCAGCTCAAAATGTGAATTCGTGTGTGTGTGTGTGTGTGTGTGAAATACTTAATATAATAAAAAACTCTAAACGGTTTACTTAAAAGCAATTAAAAAAAAAAAATCCTAAAAATGAGATAAAAACAAAACTACATATCACAAATGAAACCGATCAGTATACAGAACAAAGAATTAAAATCCAGGAAAATGTGGGTAAATATATATTTTTTAACAGCTGCTTACAGATAATTATTGTCTCCACCTCATAATTTAATGAAGAAATAGCATTACAGAGGGTGGTTGCTATCACCAAGAAGGCCCATTTGTGTAATGCTTCTGAAAACCAGTTGCTGGAAATTGCAGGAGAGGAGAGGGTTCTTGTGCTCAAATCCTGTTTGTGGGCTTCCCACAGGCATCTGGTTGGTCACTGTGGGAACAGGATGCTGGACCAAATGGGCTATTGGCCTGATCCAGTATACTCTTCTCATGATCTTATGTACATTTCTCTTGATAAATGTATTTGTGAACATTTTTTAATACCTACCTACCTGCAATTCCTCCTAATACAAGGTAGGTTTGTATATCATTTTCACTAACACATGCATTTTTGGCTGGTGAACAGCACCACAAAATGTGTGACTTTTAATGGATAGCTGTGTTTCAGTTGGCTTATTGGTTTGGGAACTGCAATTAGGAATGCTCACTTTAAAATGCAAACCATGTGAGTTTCTCCCCGATCTCTAATCACCGCAAGTGAACCAAGCAAGACATATTCACAAATGTCTTTAAAATCAGAAAGCTGTGTAGAATAGCACTGTCGTACTGACACCACACATGGTATAATGCTGGTTTAAATTAACCTTTTGTTTTGTTTAGAGAAGCGATTTTCAGAGCAAATTGCTTTGCCCTGTATTCCCTCCCAATAAATATTAGACAGGCACAGTCTCTGTTGCCTTTTCAGCATCTATATCAAAGTCTTTGCTCTTCCAACAAGCATTTTAAGTGGAGATCTCCTGATTTGGAGGGGGCGTGTTTTAGATATTTTTTCACTTTTTATCAGTTGTGTATTTGCCAGCGGCGTAGCGTGGGTTGTCAGCACCCGGGGCAAGGCAAGTAATTTGCGCCCCCTAACCCGGGGCAAGGCAAGTAATTTGCGCCCCCTAACCTGGGGCAAGGCAAGTAATTTGCGCCCCCTAACCCCTAACCTGCCGCCGCTGCCAGCTTCTTCTTGCTGTTGCCTGGTCTGGTCTGGTGTGGTTCTCTCCCGTGCTCAGTGCTGCGCTGGGCGGCCGCTGCACTGTCCCTCCCCCAGATAGTCCCTCGCTCTCTCTCCGCACCGCACGCCTGGCACCCACCCCCTCCACAGTGGGCGGTGACCCAGCAGCTCAGATCGGATTCGCACAGCCAGCACTGCAGTGAGAGAGAGTGAGTGAGCCAGGTAGGGGCAGAGAGCTGCGAGTGCGAGCGCGCCCCCCCAGATGCTGCGCCCAGTGCGGCTGGCCCCCCCTGCACCCCCCACGCTACGCCACTGGTATTTGCCACCTTGGACTTCTTTTGGGAGGAAGGATGGAATAGAAAATAATAAGAATAATTTGTAAGAGTGTTGTGGCGAGGCTAAACATTACAATTTTTAGCATGCCACATTTAGCACCAGCATAAGTGCCTATAATATGCAAACAGCAATAAATATTGTAGAGTGTATTTTCTCTTTAGTCATGTCGATAACATGTTTCTAATAATCCTAGCCTTCTTTTGTATGTGCTTTTATACTGCACTGATAAAAGAAAGAGGCATGAAACCTTCTCTGATGGTTTCCTTGAAGTCTCTAGATAAGGTTAACCTTGCGTGCACAAATAAGTCTTATTAAATGGAAGACAAACTGTATTGCCTCAAGACAAACTTTCAAACAATCCTTCGCAACAACATGCCAACAAGGATGTGACTTTGTTTCAAAGTGCATCAGATCAAGACAAGGCGAGAGCATGCAAGACAGAAGTTCTCTTGTAATCGAGTAAGCTGTGAAGTATGTTCAATGCATGAACTGTACCTCATTTTCCTCAGTAGGACGAGTGGTTTTTTCCCCTCCTGTCTTTGAAAAGACTGATATCCTTACTGTCAAAAAGACCAGAGGAAAAGAAAAGAATTATTAGTAAACAAATCCCAGTGGCCACGCAAGAAGTGACAGGAAAATGAGTGAGGTTATCATGCTCAAGGATATGAACGATAACATCTAAGTGTGCAACTGGGCTTTGATTTATCAAATATTAAATGATGTGATCATAAATATCTTGAACAAGCAAAGAGCTGCCATTTTGGGGGAAATGGTTTTAATCTTTTCACGCACAGAGATGTACATGCAAAGTAATCCATTTTCTTTCTCCCCTTATGTGTGTTTGTGTGTTGATGTGTGTATGTCACACATGCACACAGGTCTGCTAAGAACTTCATCTAAGTTATGGCTTACCTTGGCAAACTGTGAAGCTTGCTGGTAAGTAAATCTACTCTCAAGGAAGCACTGGTGTGAGAGGTAAGGCAGAGAAACGGCCAATTACTACCCAGTGCTGGTATAGTAGCATTTTGTAGAAACAGTTATCCTGTATAATTTATTTGCAGATAATTCTCTGTTACTATTAATTCCTCACCATTATCTTTGGCCCAAGTTAAGGTTCAAGTGTAAGTCACACTTAGAAAGAGTGGGAAACTCTTAAGACCAGGACTGGTATAAAGTTTGAAACTTAAGAAATGTTTATCCTCCATACATGTCTCCTCCAATGTAACAACCATAGTGGAAACTTGCCTATCTTCTCCATGGTTGGGTGCTTGACACAGATTTTACATCTTATTGCAGGCAACATGTTCCAGTTCAGACACCACATGGTAATTCTTAATAAGTATGTATTAGTCACTCAAGTGTTAGCCCTCTTTGGGCTTTCAAACATAATATGGGAGGGCTTATATTGGGTAGAGAGTGCAGGTGCACTTCCTCTGTCCCCATGTGCATCCTCTCCACCTCCTCCTTTTCCAAACTTCACTTGTTGAGGGGGAAGGTCTACAGGGAAGTAGACACCTTCAGCTGTCTCCTTGTCAGAAACTCAGATTACATGGTGTTCCTTATCATGGATAGGATTATAACCACACTCAGCTGAACACTTCAGGTAACGAGCTCCGCTAACCCATAGGTAGGTGCTCCTGGTAGCAAACTTTGCCCCGGGATGTGAATGGAAGTCGCATGGCATCGTCGTGGTGGCAGTGGGAGGCCCCATTAGTGAAAGCACGCCTCAGGTTAAGAACGGCTTCGAGTTAAGAACGCACCTCTGGAATGAATTAAGTTCGTAACTGGAGGTACCACTATAGAAGAAACTACCTGTCTCTAGTCTCATACAGCTATGTTGTTTGGGTGTACCAGTAAGCTATTTGTGTTTTCTCTCCTCTTCCCACCCCTCACCCAGCTGCCTACCTTGCTCAAAACCAGTCTTAAAAAAACATAAACTCATGATTGATTTGGACAAGCAATCGCAAGGCCAAACCTGTGCATGAACATTACTGTCTGCTCATATCTGTAAAAAGAGGAGGGCACCAGAGAATTGAGCCAGCTGAGCTTCCCCTAGTTCCATTCACTTGCCAAAAAGCATGCTACAAGGTGGCAATCACTTTGCCAACTGGGATCTAAGAGTGCTCCTCTTTCTGTGTCCATCTCTTGCATTTGCACTGCTCCTTTCTGCCTTCATTAACAAACTTACTGCTGCACTTACTCTGCGGCTGACTCCGCTCATCATTCATGAGCGGATGTTGGTAACATACTGGGGCAATCTGTTTGTGCAGCATGGCCTGAGACTATAAACCACAGATGTCTTCCATGACTCTCATGGATTCTGGCAGGCAAGGACGCTGAAAAGGTCCAGATTTTCCCATGGTAGTCTGTCAGGTCTTCAAACAGAGGACTGTGACCCCCAGCCCTTACTCATTAGAGTAGTCCTTTGCTCTCGCTGGAAGTCCAGCTCATTAGCATAGCACTAATTTATCTGAGTAAGGGTTGGGCCCTTAATCATCTGGCTTGTGCTTTTCAATTCTTTAGGTATTCATGCGGTGCAGAAACTGTCATGTTCCTCATTAAAAAGAAAAATAAAATCCATGAAATGCTGACATAACAAAATGACACTTATAATCAGGGAACAGGGAGGAGATTAGTACTTTAGTACATCAGCTTTTGAAATTCAAATATTCTGTAATATATGAATGACTATTCTAACCTTTACCACATGCAGCGTTCCCTGAATTTCACAAGCTGCTTAAGAAAGCTGCAGCTCCCTAGAGAGACCATGAAAATTCATGGAAATTTTCATTGTACTTGGTTTATTATCCTATAGGCATAGATCAAATTTGTTCTCCAAGTACCCATCCTTTTGCAGTCAAAATGACCACATCCACCCACAAGGGGAGGTGTCAGGTTTGCAAGGTTTGAAAAAGTGCAATGCATTGCTTTTGGAGGGACTTCTGGGCTGACTGCCTAGTATGGGACTCGAGGACACTGTTTTCCAGTGATTCCAGTTCTTCTGGGAACG